TTCCTTAAAGACAAAGCAACTATAGCAAACCCATTGCATGGCCTTCTGAGGAAAGAATCACAATGGCAGTGGCATACCGAAAGTAGACAGTCAAAGCGGGTTCTAGCATCAAAATCCGACCATAACCTCAATCTTGCATTCTTGACACGAAGATGCGTCGGCGCCATCTTGTCATCTGTTGAACGTCATGGCACCATCTGTCGAGAGTGCGGTGAATTCTTGCAATTGATCGACAAGGGCTCGAAATTACAATTTCATAAAGGCGCCGCCGATCTAGAGATTTTCCCACGGTATCGAAAAATTTATCAGGCTCAGGCTCAGGTGCCCCCGTTACTACTAACCTGTCTCGGAAAGCTGCCTGTGTAGACAGACCTGTCTCGAAAAGCTGTCTTTATAGACAGCCTTGTCCTATAAAAAAGCTGTCTGTGTGGACAGACCTGTCTCGAAAAGCTGTCTGTGTAGACAGACCTGTCTCGAAAAGCTGTATCGGACCTGTCTCTGGACCTGTATAGCTGTCTACACACTTAATTGTCTCTGGACCTGTATATTTAGAGCATTTTATAGTCTATACGAAGTTACTTGGACCAGGCCTTAAATAGATAGCGCCACCGATAACATCATGACGTCGAAAAATTTGGGGTTGGACAAGGTCAAATCAACGAAATTTCAGATCAAAGGCGCCGCCGATCTAGAGATTTTCTCACGGTATCGAAAAAACTGTAGACAGGCCTGTCTCGAAAAGCTGTATCGAACCTGTCTCTGGAGCTGTCTTTGGTCTATTTTTTCCCAAGATAGATTTTGACATTGTCAACTTTGAAACACAAACAATAGCTCTTGGCCCTGAAAGGTCACAAAATGATTTGTCCCTGCAGGTTGACATCAGTTTTACAATGCATGCCGTGCAAATGGCATCTTACGATCAATAAGCGGCATTATTTTTGTTTATGTTTCAATGTTGACAATGTCAAAATCTATCTTGGGAAAAAATAGACCATAGACAGCTATACAGGTCCAGAGACAGGTTCGATACAGCTTTTCGAGACAGGTCTGTCTACACAGACAGCTTTTCGAGACAGGTCTGTCCACACAGACAGCTTTTTTATAGGACAAGGCTGTCTATAAAGACAGCTTTTCGAGACAGGTCTGTCTACACAGGCAGCTTTCCGAGACAGGTTAGTAGTAACGGGGGCACCTGAGCCTGATAAATTTTTCGATACCGTGGGAAAATCTCTAGATCGGCGGCGCCTTTATGAAATTGTAATTTCGAGCCCTTGTCGATCAATTGCAAGAATTCACCGTACTCTCGACAGATGGTGCCATGACGTTTAACAGATGACAAGATGGCGCCGACGCATCTTCGTGTCAAGAATGCAAGATTGAGGTTATGGTCGGATTTTGATGCTAGAACCCGCTTTGACTATCTACTATCTTGATTTTGCCCAATGAACGGAAATATTTTCTTAATTGTATTCGATGCCTTTTCAAAGTGGTTGGAAGTAAGGCTAGTACCTAGTACCTCTAGTGCATCGATGATTACAGTGCTGCGGGAATGTTTTGCCACATATGGCATACCGAATGTCGTTTTTTCGGATAATGGAACAGCGCTTACTTCTGTAGAATCTCAAGAATTCCGTAAAAAAATAAAATTAGACAAGCTCTAGTAGCACCTTACCATTCCAGTAGTAATGGTCAGGCAGAAAGGATGGTGCAAAATGGTAAAATTGCAATTACGAAAATGACTGGTACTGATGTGAGGGTGCCAATTGTTCATACGCCACCGTCTATGAGAATCAGGCGGCCCCAAAAATACCTAGAAGAGTATGCTACGTAAAAAATATCCAGGGGGAGGAGTGTGGTGTATTATGTCTGTGTTGTTGCGTTTTGCTAGAACTTTGAAAGTGAATAGTTGTTTTAGACATTGATAAGTTACTTTCATTTGCAGCGGGTCAGAAATGGTTGCCATCAAAGATTATCGAAACTACAGGTCCGCTGAGCTACAAGGTCTAAACACCTGAAGGAAAAATCATGCGAAGACATTCTGACCAAATCCGTTCCCGAGTTTCGGACGCGTTGGAATCAGACTTTTTTAGTAATGGCAAGTTCTCAGGAGAGTTAACTACAGAGACTTTACCACAGATGGATCCAGAAATCTCTGATGTGAGGGTGCCAATTGTTCATACGACGCCGTCTATGAGAATCAGGCGGCCCCAAAAATACCTAGAAGAGTATGCTACGTAAAAAATATCCAGGGGGAGGAGTGTGGTGTATTGTGTCTGTGTTGTTGCGTTTTGCTAGAACTTTGAAAGTGAATAGTTGTTTTAGACATTGATAAGTTACTTTCATTTTTGTAGTTTTATATGTTTGGGGTACCATTGTTGGCCAGGTGGGAGAAGTAATGTCGTGACTGATAGTTGAGAGGAAATTTGAATAATTGTAAATGGAATTAATGTTGTTGGAATTGGAATCGATATTTAACAGTAACAGTACAGCAAGGCTCCCCTTTCACTTGAAGGATGACGATTGTCTAAATTTAAATTTACAACTTGAAAATAATTAGAATTCTATTCCTGTCAGGTTTAATACCATAACGAATTATCTGAAATGAGTTTTCTATCTATTAATTCTTTGGCCGATATCCCAGTTCTTTGAACGTCAATCCCGTGAAATTAGACAATTCGTTTTAAACTAAATTAAATTGATTTTTACGACCTTATTTTGGCAGCTTCCTCGTTTTAATAATTCTAGGATCTGACAAACAAAGTTACAATTATTTGCGATTAATCAAATCGAATATTCTTCTTAAGCTTTTGCCAACAATTTTGGTTGCCAAAATTTCAGAGGGTTTTGGAATTGAAAATACTGGAGTTTAATCATGCTATAAATAGGAATTTGAACATAAAACGTTAATATAACATCAAAAATTAATCATTTCCTCTTATTACAAAGTAATTACCAGTGATAAAGTTACTTCCGGAAACCTCAGAAAATGTTAATTACCTGAGCTGCTATTATTGATTTTCAAAGGCTTATGAACTAGTGGAACAAAATAAGAACACAATAAATGCGGAAATTGAATCTAAATTTAACAGCTTCCGCATTATCCAGACCTATATCAATAGGTACCCGAATGGCAAACGATTCGAGGTAATTTTACTCCAAAATGATGTTCGAATTTGAATAAAAGGCTTTTTACTGGATTTATTAGCTCCGAAAGGCAAACAATACCGCGTTCTGGTTGTGCGGTCAGGGTGATATTGAATGAAATATTTTAATTAGGATAACATCGTTTATTTTGCCTAGGGGTTCATTTCTGCTATATTATACAATTCAGGAATTAGGTATTGTTTTTTTTTTGTCTGCTATAATAATGAATAATTTATTACTAATTGTTTATTTAAAACTGGAAACTTTTTGATAAATTTTTCATAAGAAACTGATAAATTATTAGCCCTTTCAGGTCTAGTTGAACTGATATCCTTAGATTAGTTTGGCCATCAGTATCAATCAAGCGGAGCTTGGCTTGAACAACTGTCGGTTAAGTATATGAATAAAATATACGGTGCGTGAAATTTCCCTCAAAGGTAGAATAGCTATTTAATTATTCATCCTGGATAAATTATTGGCCCTAAAATAAATATAAGGTGAAAAATGTATGAAAACATCACCTATCTGAGAAACTTTCGTTAAGTACAGGTGGCTAAAATTTTTCTTTAAAAACTTTCACATTTTAATTTTGTGTAATAATAATATTTGGGGATCAGTTCAAGGCTATTCAGTGGCTTTCCGCTCGTGAGCCTTTCATCTGAGTTCGTAACCCTGGATTTCAAAAAAAGCACAGAAGACGAAGACATATTGAATTGAACAACTTCAAAATTGAAACACGGCACAAAATTTAAACATTTTAAGTTTTGTTTTTCTCTTGAAAGTTTCGAGAAAAAGTTGGAAAAGAAGCATAAAAGAAAAAGTCAAAAAAATCTATAAAAAAAAAAACAGGAAAATTTTTGTCTTTTACGTTATATAGCCATTGGCCGCCAACGAAGTGCTTACTATGCAAGGGAAATGTTGTTAATGGTAAAATATTCCCATGACAATTTATTATGAGGTAGGTAAGTGATTTATGTTGTTTTACTATAAAAGTTTATGTAGGTACGAAACCATGCGTGTTGATAAAAAAATAGTTATTTATGATATAAGTGTTAAAAGTACATTTTTAAGGCACGCATGTGAAAGTTTGCAGAATGAGCGAAGCGAATTCTGCAATTCACATAAGTGCCTTAAAAATACTTTTAACACAAATATCATACAATATTTTTTCTACAAACGGCAATAACAAGCAATAACCAGTGACAAATTGGATCTTTAAATGAATAATTAATTGGAAGCATCTTTCCTACGTAAAATTATTGAATTTGATATTTGTCAAAAAATTCAAACAACCAGCACCTTGTTTTACAGGTAATGAAATGTCTTGTCAGTTTCTTGAAAGTCTGTCGTGGTCAGGAATGCTTTTTGCTAAAAATGCAACAAAATACACAAGAAAAAGAGGGTTGCATCAATCCCTTGAAAAATATAGAGGAAGCGGCCGATGGAGCTTCCTCAGTTGTTCAAATTTTACCATTAATATTAATGTAAATAATTAAAAATACAAACTTTTTTTGAGGTTTGCTTTCAAATTTTGATGTTTCATTTTTAACACTAGTGCCTTAAAGACTTTTAACACTAGTGCAATAAAATAACATTTTTAATGCTTCGAGGGGGTGTTAAAAATTGTATTTTTAACACGTTTGTAGAAAAAATATATTAAATTTTTTCAATGGAATAATGGAAATATTACGCAAAGTTAAAACAAGGAATATTTACCCAACATAGAGATTTTGTTCAAAATAAAAATAGTGTTTGTTAATAAATTATTAAAAATAATTCTCAAGGAAAATGAAAATATATAAGTTGAAAAACAAATCAATTATAATTATGTGACAAAAATCCAAAAATAAACAAACCTGTTGAGAAATTAATAGTACAATCGGCGGTGCAAAAACGAACTCCCTCACTGTATTGTTTCCGTCGATAAACCTGCGTGACGTTGCTCGAAAGAGGCGTCGCGACGCACTGAACCGACGTCCGTTTCAGCTTTTCCATCTTTACCATTATTTTGCAAGAGCTGCGTCACCTGTACATATACAGAGTGCGTATATGAAATTGGTATAATGATTGGATAAATAGAATTTTCTGCATCCTTACTTTTGAATAATGGAGTCCTTGTTGAAAAAATAAAATAAAAAACAAAAACTCTCTAAATATAGGTCTGTTTCTGCAGAAATCACAAACCAGTCAGACTGAATTTCGTTGGTTGAAACTAGTTTTCTGACTGTTTTCAACCAATGAAATTCGCTCTGACTGGTTTGTGATTTCTGCAGAAACAGACCTAAAAACATGGAATTTATCCACAGTACGTCACAACTTGAATTTTCACAGTGTTGCATTCTCAGCACTTGAAATTTGTAATATGTATATTTAATATAAACATGCTGCCAGAAAAAAAATAGTTGAATTAAGTTTTTTTTTCGCACGGCGCACTACATTTAGTCACAACTGGCAACATCGCAATCAAAACTCTAATGCCTCATTCTCACTTGCGCGAAATTCGCTCTTTTTTGACATTGCTTCGACAATTTGACGTTTAATACACGCATAAAACGTCAAATTGTCGAAGCAATGTCAAAAAAAGAGCGAATGTCGCGCAAAAAGAGCGAATTTCGCGCAAGTGAGAATGAGGCATAAGCCAGCGGCCACCGGAACAGCTATTCGTGCCTATGGTTCGTGCTTTGTCGATGGAGTCTTCTTAAATTTGATTGGTAGAAGTCTCTGGAGCATTTCAAGGATTTCAATTTTTTTCACTTTTAAAGTGCTTGTAGAAAACTAATTTAAGTTCGTAGATCCACTAACCGGGAATTTCGCGTTATCTAAAAGAAGATTTGAGAGCTTAAAATTGGAAAAATTAGAAAAATTGAGGCAGGATTCAGGATTACAAAAAAAAAAAATAGGAAAATTTCACATTATATCACACTCTCTAATTTTAAATTCAAGATTTTCGAAGGAGAAAACTGTTTTGCCTGTTTCTCCTTACATTTATTCTTATTTATTTCCATTGAACTTTTGTCTATTTTAGGCGTTTGAATTTGTTTTTATCCTTGTCCTTCTAACGAGATTATCAATTGACCCATGCGTCAATTGGTCCTTATTCTTGAAACAGGAGAGCAGGGTTACCTGGTCCCTCTTGAAACAGTGGAGCAACATTCTCAGCCCTCCTGAGAACGTTGCTTCCTTGTTTCAAGAATAAGGATTCAGGAGAACGAGTGTTCTGTCTCATATCGAGTGTTCTGTTACTATATTATAATTTGCATATCATTGAGAAAGACTGAACACTCTTCCAAAAATAAGGACCCTGTGAAATTCTGTAAGGAATAGAGACATTTTCGCAATCTCTATTGACGTCCCCTCTCTATTGATTTCGAAAAGAGAGAAGAAGACAGCAAGTGCCATAACGATAGGAATAAGATCTCCATCCGTTACAAAAGAAGGAGAGATAGCGCGATTAGGATTCAATTCAGAACAAATTTCGGCCGATATCATTGGTAAAATGTTAATTTCTAATAACAAACAGATGACGTCATCAAGTAGTTCTTATGGAGATTTGCATTATGTTTAGGCATACAGATGACGTCATAAAAGTTGTCGCAACTCAAGGAACCTTGGTCGCAACCTACACTTGGCCAATCATAAAACTGGTACGCATTTTCCTATTAGACTATCCAAGATGCTGTCAAACTTAAATTAAAATGTCCGCCAAGAGGCACACAAACCCAAGAATCGACACAAACCCGTTGTTTGCTTGTCAAAGTCACCTGTTTTGGATAGGCTGACAATTTCAAGATGCTGGTAAACTTAAATAAAAATGTCCGCCAAGAGGCACACAAACCCAAGAATCGTAAACTCTACAGGATTGCTCAATCCCATAAGACAAACGTTCATAAAAACGTCGAAGATGGCGGTATGCGAATGACGTCACGCAGTCCTTGATCGGTTTGTGTTTTTTATGACAGTGCACTATCCTTGCATTTTCAAACGTGAAAAATTGTTATTTTGAGGTTATTTCTTTTGAAAACTGTATTTTGTAATTAATTTATTGATTTTAAAATTAGCAGACTTCAAAAGCTTGTGTCCTTGAGGCTTGAGTGGTTGGCTAATTGCTAATTAGAAAGACGAGTTTGTTTGCTTTTGTTTATCAATTAGCCAAACATATTGCCAAAAAGTCAAAAAAACGAAGGGCTGGAGTCAAGCTGGCCCCCGGATTCGTTTCAATGGTTTTTTGTGTATGAAAATGAGCACAATTCGCATAAATACTGGCACAATTGAGCACAAAACGGGCACAATTGACTACAGTTGAGAAACAGTAGAAAACCAAATGTGGAGTGCCGAGCCGGTTTAATTTTTGCATTTCAATATCAAAATATAAGCGAAACGGGGTTGCAATAGTGTGCTTTATTTTTTACTGACCCTACCTAGGTACTTCTCAATTATTATTCATTAATTTAATAGGTACTAGAACGATTTAATATGGACATTCAAAGTGAGCTTATTTCACAAAGCCAAATAGTGATACCTAATTTAGATTCTCATAATCATATTCCAGAAAAACATTGCAAGTTTCCCATATTTTCCATGCGTTTTCATAGTAAACGCGCCAGTAAAGGAATTTATTTACATATTTATTTATTCACTCTTCACAAACCCTAATTTTTATTAGTAGGTACCTAATTACATGCAAAGGAAACTTACAACTAAGTAGATATTTGATTTATAAAAAAAAAGCAAAACAAATGCTTGACTAGGAAATACTAACTAGCAATACACACAAATAAAAGAGCGATGTCCTGATACAACAAATCCAGTATTATAAAACCAGAAAATGCTTGGGGTTTTCGCGAGTATTTTCAGCCACGAGTCTTTTATGCTTACACACATTAAATGAAACTTTAAATTTACACTTATAACACTAGATAAATCCGAATTTACGATAAAATAGTTGTCAGCACAAACTAAACATCATTCGTATCAGCGGCCATCTTGAAAATCCGGCATGCGCGTGACGTCACAGCAATTGTGAAAAATTTAGCCGATTGAGCAATCCTGTAGAGTTTACGATTCTTGACACAAACCCTTTGTTTGCTTGTCAAAGTCACGTGTTTTGGATAGGCTAATTGTGTTGTATTGTGTAAATCGACCTCGTTTATCACCTCAACATGACAAAAAGAGTCAAGTCAGTGTCATATTTAAACCAATCATAACATAAAAACATGTTGCATTTACTTTTGTTCGGCTTTGACGTTGAAAAAAACTGTATGACTCCCTAATCTAAGGAAAAAACTTTTTGTTGTTAAGCCTGATTCACACTTGGCAAATTTGAAAAATATATCATCGCCTTCCTTACAAACGGGCTTATCTCAAAAAATTGCTAAATTGTGTTAAGCCCTTGGGAGGCATCAAAACAGTTACCTGCAGCTACCCTGAAGGCGTATCTCAAATATAGGTAATCTCGAAGATACGCCTTTTTTAGTATTAGGCCTATCTCAGATTTGGCACGAAAATATTCTTAAAAAATATTTGTACTTTTTTCTCTCCTGAAAAATCAAAAAATGAGATAAGCCCCTTTGCAAGGAAGGCGACGATATATTGCCCTGTACCAGTTTTACGTTTGGCCAAGTGTACAGGGTGATCTATTATAAATGTCACCCCCGCTCCTAACTTTTTTGTTTGACGTTTTTGACAGAGGTGTCAGATATAAAAGTTTTAAGAAATTGTCAAAAGTTTTTAACTAATGGCGTTTCCGATTGGTAGATCTAGTAAGGAACTAGTGCAATTTTTTCTATTTCTGTCTTTTTCTTCTACAGGTCGATTAAAAGGATGCAAATACACTCGGTGCGCACTGAATCTACCAATCGGAAACGCCATAAGTCAGTTTCGAGCATACAGGGTGCGTCAAAAAAGTGTAGCAGAGCGAAGTTGTATTTTTTTAAATAGAACACAAAGCTTAAATGGTGTAATTTTTTTTTTCTTCAATATGGGACCTCGAAAGGGGTTTTCATGGTTTTCCCTATAACTAAAGATAGACATATTAAACCATATATCGTTGAAATCAGGTTGAAAGGAACTATCAAATAAGCGCACAATATATGTATATGGTGTTCCATTTAAAAAAATATAACTTCGCTCCGCTACACTTTTTTGACGCATCCTGTATGTTTGAAACTGACTTAATTGAAAACTTTTGACAATTTCCTGAAACTTTTGTATTTGACACTTTTGTCAAAAACGTCAAATGAAAAAGTTAGGAGGGGGTGCCATTTATAATAGATCACCCTGTACCTGTTTTAAACAACCTTGATCCAAACCACAAATGCAATGATTCAATATGGCGGCAATGGTCAAGCATACACTGTGAGTTTTTATTTTTTCGGACCTATTTTCCGAAATTCATTTGACATAAATAAAAAATTCCGGAAAAATTCAATATGGCGTCTGGTTGGTAAAGACCAATGACAGAAACATATTAAATGAATTCCTTAATGGAGAAATAAGAGAAATTCAAGCCTGGAATAAAAAAAAATAAAGTCTGTTATTTTTTTAAAGATAATTCCCCAGGTCAAAAATTTAGTAACTATGTTGGCAACACAAACCTTTTCTAAATAAAAAATTTGAAAGCATTGACAATTTTACATTGTATTGCCAACATAATGTCATTTTGACTTTTATCTTAAAAAAAAAACAGACTTTAATGAAAATTCAACAATGAACAAAACTAACGTTTTGTGATTACCTCTATCCTTGTTCTTTTTTTGACAGATTTTTTTTTCACACGTGACTTAATTGCTTATAATTCAAACAAGTAACACGAGCTAACTGTTAAAAACTTCTTTAGGCGCATTTACCACAAAAACATTCCTGGGTAGTGAATCAGACTGAGCCGTCACGCTCGAACTGTTAACGCTCATTCGGTCAGATAGAGTCGGCTCGAGGCGTCGAGTTCAGCCCACCGAGAGAGAAAAACAGTAAGTAGTATGAAAGAGAGAGAGAGGTAAAGAGCGATTGGGATTCAATCGAGATTTCCCCTAGAACAAACCTTTGCGACGTTGTTGATATCATTGGCAAAATTTTAATTTCTTGTGAAAGGTTGTCTGGTAAATGCAAACAGATGACGTTATCAGGTGGTTTTTATGGATATTTGTATCAAGGTTCGATTTGTATTATGTTAAGGCATACAGATGACGTCATAAAAGTTGTCAGGCAACCTTCCTCTTTTAAACAACCTTATCCCTTGTAAGGCAATTTCGCATTCATTTGACATATTTGACCTATGTAATGTAACATTTCAAAAAAATTGGCGTTTGATTGGCAAAGACACATGGTTCGGATCAAGGTTGTTTGTTCAGATTACCTAATAAAGAAGAGAAACTCAAGAGCCTGTAATAAGAAAAATAATGAAAATTCAACAATAAACGAAACTAATGTTTCGTTATTACTTTTATCTCTTCTATCCTTGTCCCTTTGTGACAAACATTTTTCACATGTGACTTCACATTGTTTCTATATAATCCAAACACGTGACAACTGTCAAAATTTCCATCTTTAATTTTTCTGAGCTATTTCCCAAACGCACCCCTTGCATACAATAGGGCAATCTGACACTCATTTGACATATTTGACATGTAATGTAACATTTCAATATGGCGATTGGTTGACAAAGCGCATGGTTCGAGTTCCCTAATGGAGAAATAAGAGTAATTCAAGAGCCTGAAATAAAAAAAAAAAATTAAAATTCAACAATGAACAAAACTAATGTTTTGTGATTACTTCTTTCCTTGTCCCTTTGTGACAAACATTTTCCGCACGTGACTTCAAATTGTTTCTATACAATTCAAACACGTGACAACTGTCAAAATGTCCATCATTAATTTTATAGAACTATTTTCCGAATGCACCACTTGCATAAAATAGTGCAATTTGACACTCATTTGACATAAAAAAAAAATATATATATATATAATGTGACAATTCAATATGGCGTCTTGATGGCAAAGCGCATAGTTCGGGCTCCCTAAAAAGAAATAAGAGTGATTCAAGAGCCTGGTATAGGAAAAATATTGAAAATTCAATAATGAAAAAACTAATATTATGTGATTATTTTTATCTGTCCTTTTGTTACAAACCTTTTTCGTACGTGACTTCAAATTATTTCTATATAATCCAAACACGTGACAATTGTCAAAATTTCCATCTTTAATTTTTCTGAGCTATTTTCCGAACGCACCCCTTGCATACAATAGGGCAATCTGACACTCATTTGACATGTACCTAATGTAACACTTCAATATAGCGTCTGATTGGCAAAGCGCATGGTTCGGATTCCCTATAATAGAGAAATAAGAGTAATTCAAGAACCTAAAATAAGAAAAATAATGGAAATACAATAATGAACAAAATTAATGTTTTGTGATTACTTCTATCCTTGTCCCTTTGTGACAAATATTTTTCGTACGTGACTTCAACTGTTTCTATGTAATCCAAACACGGGACAACTGTCAAAATGTCCATCATTGATTTTATGGAGCTATTTTCCAAACGTACCCCTTGCATGCATTAGGGCAATCTGACACTCATTTGACATGTAATGTAACATTTCAATATGGTGTCTGGTTGGCAAGGCGCATGGTTCGGGTTCCCTAATAATGGACAAATAAGAGTAATTCAAAAGTCTGGGATAAGAAAAATAATGAAAATTTAACAATGAACAAAACTAATGTTTTGTGATTACTTCTATTCTTGTTCCTTTTGTGACAAATATTTTTCACACGTGACTTCAAATTGTTTCTATATAATCCAAACACGTGACAACTGTCAAAATTTCCATTTTAAATTTTTTGGTTATTTTCCGAACGCATCCCTTTCATAGAATAGTGCAATCTAACACTCATTTGACATATAATGTAACATTGCAATATGGCGTCTGGCCTTTATCATTAAAACACGCGACAACTGTCAAAATGTCCATCATTAATTTTTCGGGGCTATTTTCCGAACGAACCCCTTGCATACAGTAGGGCAATCTGACATTTATTTGACATCTTTGACATGTAATGTAACGTTTCAATGTCTGGAATAAGAAAAATCTAGAGAAAGCAATAAAACATAACAGAAATAGGGGAAATTCTAGAAGAAACTCTGGAATAAAAAAAATAGCATATTAATTAAAATAATATTATAATTTTCTCCAAACGCTGGCGCCATCTATGAACGTTGCCATTAAGATATTAGAAAATCGTTGAGAGAGTTCTTCCATGGTCAAATTATCATGTACAAATGTATGTCTGGTTGCCTAACCTCACTCAACGTACGAAAATGATGGTACCTTATCAAGAGGTTGCCTGATAACTTTATGACGTCATCTGGGATGCCTCAACGTAATACAAATCTCCATAGGGTACCCCAAATGCGTTATCAAGTTAACCATTACCAGACCAGACAGTACCTTATATACAGGGTGTCTCATAAATTTAATAATAAACTTTCATGAGTGGTAACGGACCTCAAAACAAACCTATTTTGATTTCTTTTTCAAAATACAAAAGGTTTTTAAAACCCTTGTCAAGACTCAAAGCTATTAGTTTTATTTATCAAAATCATTTATTTTCTTTGCATTCTATCACAAATTGCTTCTATTTTTCTTCCTCCTCCTCTGCCCTTTGTGTCCATCAAAATCAACAACGTACTCAAAAAAACAAGCCGAGTGTCCATAAATAGTCCTCTCCATTACCGTCAAACATTGTTTTTCAATTCGAAATATAATACCGGAACAGCAGACCGGTCGTGCCCTTTCACGTCACAAGGGAAATGACGTCGTCCCTTTTTCAAATGGGCCGCAATGTTGTATGGGTTGATGTGCCTTAAGTGGCAATCAGTCAACCGCAGTCGACACAATGGAAATGGACTGTATTGTTTTATTATATTATTGCTAATTTGGAAGTCGATTATTATCTGATTTATTTTATTCATTTTGTCTTGACCAATTTTTTGTTTGCTTTTTCTGGAAGATTTCATAATTCGCTCCAGGGATTCTACAGGAGTTTTAAAAATATTTTGAATGATGAATTTCTAGAGTTTCCCATTGTTTGTTTGTATTCCCTTTTGTATGTTATGTTTCGAATTGAGTACGTGCCGGCTTCAATAGCCCCAAGTACTGAGATTTTTTCGTATCACAGCACAGGTACCTACTGATCGGTGTGTCCTTCTTTTTGTCCTTTTGTTCTGTCGCTAGTACCACAACGGAAAACGATTCTACACAAGCAAAAGTGAGACACGCTCGGTGCAGTGAGAGAAATGAAATGTTTGAGCAAAGTACGAGTGGAAGTAGGATAGCAATCGTGGGTCGGGAGGTAGGTAAAAGGCCTTCTTTTTTTTAAATGTTGCTCTCAGACAAAACACAAACCGCGTACCGGCCGGTCGTGTGTAGTACGGCATCTGTTTTCTTAAACACGAAATAGTCCGGAACATTTGCGGGATTAAGTGAATTTTGATTTATATGCTGGATTATATTGAATTTATTTTTATTTGGTGGAATTTTGTTTCAGATTTTGCTAGATTGGTAAGTACTCAGCCTACTTAGGTATTAATTATTGAGACATATCAAAAAAAAACATCAAAACTGATGATGGTTTGAAAAAATCGAAACGTTTTTATACAAATCTGGTAAATGAGAAAATAAAACAAGTCTACAAAGAGTTGCGTAAATGTTTTCGGAATCATTTTTCAGACTTTAACTTTGTTCTAGATCCAAATAAGTATAGGAAAAAAATTATTGTAAAGATTTCTGGGTCTATACAAGTAGCGTTACGCCTTACCTAGTTTCTTGCCTAATTCAAATGTAAGACCCCAATCAATGGAGATAATTAATTTAGAAAAAAAAACAAAATTTAATGACCATAACTAACTGTGTTATGCTGCTTACATTTTTATTACCTTCGGTATTTATCTCTCTCCCATGTTCGTTTTAAGCTACTGATTAATTAAATCCATTAAAAGAGTATGTACAACATAGGTAGTAACCTACTATGCGGTTAAATATGATGCAAAAAGAGGAAATACACATATAATTGGTAATGTACGTGTTAATTAATGTATTTGAATGTATGTTTTAACATGTCTATGGTTTTAACTCTTTTGTTATACAAGGTTGAAAAAAGTTATACACCCATGAATTAAGCTGTTAAAGTACGATACAGACTTGGAAACTAGTAATAAAGAATTTGAGTGAGTTTTACTCATAACTTTCAAAACTCTAGAGCGTGTAATTCACTCATTAATAGGCTATTGAAGTAAGTACGATATTAACTTGTAAACGGAGTGAGTTTGAAATTTACTCATCCAATTCCCGATTTAGGCCCGGTTTATTCATCTCCCGATGAACTTCCTGGTAACTGTCTACAAGACAAATATACCAAACTAGGCCCTATCGGGCTGACCGATATAGGATTTAAAATGCGTCCACCCGACAGTTTATCAGAAGGTGAATAAACCAGGCCTTAAAGAAATAACAAGCGCAAAGTTGACTTTACTTTTAATAGACACAAGTTATAGGACTGTCGTTTCAATACTGCGCATGCTCCTAATAAAAAGTGCTAAGATAAAGAGCCTAGAATTCTTATTTCTAATACAAACTTTCGAAAACCTGTGAAACCTCATCAGCGATTTGAGATTTTTGGCATTTCATATATGCTTGATTTCAAATTTGACACACCCTGTATTTATATAGGCAGCACACAGGGTGTTTATTAGAACATGCCAGACACAGGAACTCTGTTTGGATACCTATGTGTTTACAAAAGAAATATTTATCAATTACCGAGGTGTGGCTCTGTATAACTGAGCCCAAAAGTCACTGGTTCAGAAAATTGAGCCTTTTATTAAGTCTCAAGTTGGACAATTAACCTATTGTTTGAGGCAAATGTGCAAGTCCATTAAAGCCGGTAATGACTTGTTATTTATGGTATAGTAGCATAAGCAACAATTTATTACAAAATGGGGGCACATTTTTCATATACCTATGTAAGTGTGACAACAATTTGTAAAAAAAAATCAGCATTTCATTGAAACTCTGATGATGGAAATAAATAATGGAAACGTATAAACCTCAGGGAGAAATCGTAAATACACGGAAATAGAAGATTAGAAAAGACAAACTGGCGCAAATAAATGAAACGAGAAGAAATCGTTGGGTTTTTTTTATGGTAAATAATTTTTATGGACATTTAGATGGTTGCCATACATGCAATTCCTCATTTTACAAGGAAATGCAACAATCGCTATTAATTGTTTAAATAATTGAAAATAAAATAAATAGAATTAACATAATCAATAGTTTAGAAATTGTTAATGTGTGTGGCGCCATCTGCTTCCGGTCCTAGTTGGATTGTACACATCAATGTTGCCAATTATTTTCTTTCGATATTGTTTCTTGTGGGACACCCTGTATCTACAACAACGAACTCATAATTAATATTTATCGACCAACTTTCATTAAGTTAGGTATTTCTTCCTTCTTATATGGCTACTTATCGGGTGTGGCACTCATAAAAATTTCTCTTCTATAAAAATTCAATGCCCAACATAAAAAGTTTACGAGTTTTTCTCTATGCTTTAACTACTTACAATATTATAAACAAACAAGTCATAACTGTTTATTAATCTATAAAAATACTCAATAATAATTTAAGTGCTTAATTAAGAGAAGTAGGTAAATTGTTTTCTTTTGAACATTTTCGCCATTAGTATTTTTCTTTTCTTGGGCAAATATTTGCAACAAAAATTTACGACCAAGTCGTTAATTTTAATGCTCCTCGTTGTTAATTACTGAAAAATCGATACCGAGTAGATTTACTACGTAAAGTTCAATAATTCCAATTTGACATTGCATCAAAGTTTCGCCTTTCTAATAATAGAGTCGGGGTTCATATAAAATAAAACGCATTTTTCCGAGATTCTCGTCTAAAATAAACAGCAGGCCATAATTTAACATCGGGCATTTCGATACTTATGTAGGGTCCATGGGTGAACGAACCACAATATGAGTACAACAAAGCAAATTTAGAATGGACTCTGCATTTTGATACAGTGACGGAGAGATACATATAGTCGTTTCTTATTCGAGACCGGTTTAAAAGTTGAAACTGCCGCCAAATTTAGTTGGTTGTCATTTGTCAAAGTCGTCAAAAACTACTTCCTGTTTTTTTACAGAGTGATGTTATTAACTTCGTTTATTACATACATATTCCAATTCTTGGATTTTTAGTTGAAATCTTAATTTTTGCGGTTCAATTAGGTTTCAGATCCATTCTGAACAAATTCTACATGTTCTAAATCATTGATAAGAATCATAAGTTCAAGACATGCGCTGTTAGTTCCTAATCAGGCATGCGCTCCACGAGAATCCCGAATTAGTTCCAAACTGTTTCGGAATGACTTACGCGAACAAAGCTTATATACTACAACCGTGAAGTAAAACTGGCAACGTCGCTATTATTCATTCAACAAATTTTATTTGCTTTGTTCGCGAATCACAGGCCGAACCAGTTTGAACTTGATCCATGATTGTTGTAGAGCGCATGAATTGAAAATCGGTTCAGGATTTTATTTTACCATCTGGATCTTGTTGTATCCATGGAACCGATAGAACTTGTTCAGAATCGATTCTATTTTAAAAGACCACAAACAAAGAATTGTACCGGAATTTAATGATCCGAATGTATGATTTCTCCGGATTCAGTTTATTTTCCACGCAGGCCTTATGAGGATAGGCTTTCCTGTAGTAGTAGTGTGTATCATCCATGAGGAGAATACACACTCTAAGGATTGCTTATCCTCCTCGTTTTTGGTGATCACCGCCATATTGGTGTGTCACCATTTCCGACGTCAGTTGTTTGCACTAGCGGTCTTAGTGTAGAATTATTTAAATTCATGATGAAAAATATTATTTAATTTTGATTAACATAATAGGCAAAGAGGAAGATAAAAACGAGATCTGAAAAAGAATTGTTTTGAAATGTTGATTAATGTATTAATGTAAGTAAAAGCCGCAGAACCTTAACCTGTGGTGCAAACAGCCTACGTCAAGGCGAGAAAGGACATACGGTCTACGTCACAAATAGTGATTTGGCGTGGTGGAAGGTTTCAGATTTGTCCCATACAGGCCTTATGAGGATAGAATATCATGTAGTCAATAATAATACACACTACTAAGGATTGCTTATCGGCCTCGGTTTTGGTAATCGCGGCCATATTGGTGTATCACCATTTCCGACGTCATTAACTAAGTCGTCAGATGTTTGCTCCAGCGGTTCTAGTTTAGAATTTAAATTTAGGATGAAAAATTTCATTTAATTTTGATTAACACAATAGGCCAAGAAAAAGATGCAAACGAAATCTAAAGAGGAGTTGTTTGAGAATGGTAATTAATGTAGTAAAACCAAGTATGCATAAAGCAAAGCCCGCGGAATCATAACCTGTGCTGTCGTGCAAACAGCCCACATCAAGGCGAGAAACGACATGCTGTCTACGTCACCACTGGTGATTTGGCGTGGTGAGGGTCTTCAGATTTGTTCTACACAGGCCTCATCTTCCTATTATGTTGATCAAAATTAAATAATAATTTTCTTCCTAAATTTAAATTCTAAATTATGACCGCTAATGCAAACAGCTGACGACTTAGTTTTGACGTCGGAAATAGTGACACACCAATATAGTACTGACGCAACAAATTTTTGGTCACGTGATCACAAAAATCACAAACCAGTCAGAGTCAGAGCGTTTTTTATTGGTCCAAATCGCCAACAACTTGTTCTCTGACTATTTTGGCTGATTTCTATTGAGGTAGATGGAAACAGATCTAATATGGCCGATCAGGTCAAATCATTGGGTCAAATATTGTGGTTACGTTCATAAGAGGTGAGTTCAAAATGTTTCAAAGTTTCGATACTTTTTACACCCTTGACACTGTTGTTGTTGTTGCTCCGTGTATGGCTTTGCTGCTAGGGAATTTCCAGTGCAATATTGACACTGTGGGCCGAGTATAAAAACTTTTAACCTCGCTTTTTACCAAGCATAATACACACTACTGTCACTAATAGGATTCGGTCTCGTTCATTGGTCTCGTTTTTGATAATTGCGGCCATATTGGATTGGTGTTGCAGCATTGCAGACATCATTCAAGGATAGAATTTAAATTCATGATGAAAAATATTATGAAATTTTGATTAACGATTAACATAAAGGAAAAAAAAAGAGTTGTTTTAGAAGGTGAATTAATGTAGTAAAACTAAGTATGCATAAAGCAGAAGCTTGCGGACTCATAACCTGTAGTGCAAGCACCCTACTTCAAGGCGAGAAACGACATGCTGCTACGTCATTACTGGTGCTTTGGTATAGCGGGGGTCTTGATATTTGTGTGTATTATTTCGTTGGCTTTTTACCGGTGCTTTGAGACTACGGCATAACCTTACAATCGCAGATTAATCTCTCTCGTCGTAAATACTCCGAGCAAACGAGCAAACAGATTTACGTCCGACTGGTCTGAGCGAAAGCCAATCAGCT